CTCCACCCCAACTCAGGCTGGGCCACCCCTCATCCCTCTCCCCAGCCATGGTGCAGAGGGGACCGTGTGTCCACTATCACCCTGGCTCCTCTCTGTCCCCACCCCAGCTCTGTCTCTGTAGGTGGGCCTGGGGCCGGGTGTGGCTTACCCGTCCAGGGCCTTTGAGTCGGAGAGTGGCCCGACCAGCAGTCAGTGGCCTCTCGATGCCGGGTGGCCCGTGGGGGAGGCCACTGGTGCCGAAAATAAAGCCTGTCCCTCCTGGCCTCACGTCCGCTAGCTGGCTTCACCCGCTCACTGCCGGGCCAGTCTCCAGAGCCCCTGCCAGGGCCCAAGGCACTGAGCGGGCAGCCACCCTCCTCTGCTGGCCAGGCAGGGCCACTGCAGGGGCTGTGGATACCCTAGGCCAGGGCCAGGGGCAGTCAGGGCCTCCGCATGCCCACATGTGGACGGGGCCTCCCAGATGGGTCCAGCGTGGGCTGGACACTGGTCATACCTTGCACTGTGGGCACCTGCCTGGCTGCTGGGCCTCCCTGTGTGACCTGGTGAAAGGGCTCCGCAGATAGTCTGAGGACACAGAAACCCATCTGGATGGCCAGGGGTCAGGCTCTGTGTGGCCCCTTTGGGGCAGTGGCCAGGTGGAGACGCAGGGGTGTCCAGGAGGGTGGGGATGTCACTAGCACTCCAGCCCTGAGGGGCCCCCAGTACTGGGCTGGGTAGGAGGCACATGGGCTCTGTCCAGCAGCCTGGGGTCAGCTCCCCCTTGCTGGGTATCTGAGGCCTGTCTCTGCCTGTCCTTATTCTCTAAGGCCTGCATACTAGCATGCAGGGATCGGAGCCCCCAAAGCCTTCCAGAAGGTCTCGGAGATGCAGGGGCTGGGGGTGCAGACCAGGCTGGAGCTGGGGTGTGGTGTCCATGAACCTCCAGCTGGGTCAGCCTCCTGAGGGCAGGGAGCTCAGTGGAACCTCAAATTCCCTCCCCTCTGAGTGTCACCTTCATGTCCCCCACAGCCCTTCTCCTCAGCCGGCAGCTTGCTGAACATCCACGTAGGCCTGCAGGCCCATCCTCTGAGCCTGTGGGCCTGCTGGGAGCAGGGCTGTGCTCCTCATTGGTGCCTCAGTTTCCCTCAGCCAAGGGGCAGGGCAGGAGCCTCAGAGGTCACGTGAGGGGCGTCTGTCAGTTACATAGTACCACCTGGAGTCTTGAGGGAAGAAACCTGAGCCCCTGGGCACCCAGTGGGGTTTGCTCCTAAGCAGACACCACGTCCAGACTTGGGGGAGAGGCCCCAGACAGGGAGCCCTGGTCCAGCAGCAAGGGCCCTGGCCTGTGAGACAGCAGGCGTGGGGGATATGTCTAGAGCAAGCAAATGAGACCTCGAGGGACCTCCAGTGCCTACCTACCCTGCCTGGCCTCCAAGTTCACCCTGGATGCACAACAGGCCCCTGGGAGCTGGCCTCAGTCCAGGGCCTCTCTAGGGTCCAGGCTGCCCCTTCTGATGGGGCACAGGGGGCCGGGAGCACCTGCACTGAAAGGTCCCCCTGTCCCGGCAAAGTGACCCTTCCTGGGACAGCTTGGGGATGGGGCAGGGGGCTCCACACTGAGCCCACAGCAGCCTGAGACAAGGAGTGCCTTTAGCTGTGCCCTAGGGGCCACCTGTCCCTTCCTTCCTTCAAGAATGTGCTGGGGGGTATGAGGGGCTAAAAATAGAAGTTGACACTTGGAGGGGAGGGAGGGCAACCTCCTTCCCCGGTGTGTCCTCCCATCCTCGTCATCTCCTTCACCGGCCATTCCTATACTTGGTAAGGGGCTCCTGTGGTACAGCCCCTTCCCTGCCTGGCCACATGCCTTGGCCCCCCGCCGTTGGCCAATGAGCTGCGGGCACAGATCGAATGTCACTATAACACGAGAGCACGAGGCAGGGCAGGCAGCTGTGCAGCTAGCCTTCGGGACAATCCTCCTGCGACCCCAGCATCCAGGTTGGTACGCCAGGCGGTGGCCAGTCCACAGGGCTCTCTGGGCTGGGCTGGGCCCGAGCGTGATGTGTGTTCTGGGACTGGGGACACTGGGCTGCTGAGTCTTGGGCCTCATAAAGCCATCCATGGCCCAGAACCTGGGATAGGGCGCCAAGGGTGATGCTCTGTGGACATGGGACAGATGAGGAAGAGGTATCCCCAGGTGGGAAGGCAGGGTCAGGAGGGTGAGCTGATGGAGGTGGAGATCCACCCAGGAGGCTGGCCATCTTGTCCTTCAGGGCCACTCTGAGCCAAGACCCTGGGCTCAGTGCTGACACTTTGTAGACAGGATGGGAACCAAGGGGTGGGGCTTCTCTGAGGTCACCCAGGAGAGCATCCATGGGTCTGGGGCATCCATGTGGAGGGGACATCTATGGGGAGGGGACATAGAATGGGGGCATGATGGGTGGGGGCAGGGAGTGTTGTGGGGAAGGGACATCGTGGGGAGTGGATATCATGGGATGGTAGCATAACGGGGAGGGATCATCATGGGATGGCAGCATCATGGGGAGGGGACACTGTGAGGAGGGGCATCATGGGCAGTGAGTAGCTAGGACCCATGGACTCTAGCTGCCAGCACCTTGGGTGCCAGCTCACAGGTTCAAGGCACTGGGTGGCTATCCCTTCTCACCCAGAAAGATGGAGACAGGCCTCTGCCCATGGCCGGGTAGTCAGTGTGCTCCCAACACCTGTCCCTCCCTGCCTGTGCCCCTTTTTGCCCAGGGCTCAGGGCTGCCTTGGAGTGCCCAGCCCCAGCCATGAACATGCCAGTCCCTTTGGCATCATGGGGTGGGGGCATCATGGGGAGGGCACATTGTGAGATGAGGGCATCATAGGGAGGAGGCATCTCTCCACAGCTGGGGCCAGGTGAGCCCAGTCGTCATTGGCTGGACTGCAAAGGGGGGCCAGAGCAGCCTGGGGGGGGCGGCAGCCAGGGTCTCACGCGGGTGAGTGGCAGGGCCTCCTGTCTCTGCCTCCTCCACCCCCCAGCTGTCACCTGGGAAGGAGGAAAGGAGGGTGCGTGTCCCCAAGGAACACATATGTCCCCAAGGAGTGATGACCGCAGAGGTTATTTCTGTCCCTGCCCCTCAGAGGGGACATGAGATCTAAGCGTTGGCCGAATGCTCAGCTGTCCACAGCCGCCCCCCCCCCATGCACACCCCTACCCTCTCCTCCTACCAGAGGGCCAGGGTGGAAGACTCCATGAGACATCATGGAAGCCTGCCTGGGGGACACTGAGCTGCTTCAGTGGGAGCGCAGCGACAGCCCCCTCCCCAAGGGGGCTTTTGGGGGACCCTCACTGGGTGCCTATTTGGACCCCTATCCCAGAAGGGCAGGTGACATGGTGGGGGTGGCAGGGAGGGCTGGACTGGCCGGGCTGAGGGACAGGCACTTGTGCAGCACTGCCCCCCCATCTTGAGTTTCGAGGCTAAGGAGCCTTAGCTAATTATGGCGCCTGTCTCCAGCTGCCACCAGCTCCTTAAAAATAACCCCCTGGGTCCGGGCCAGGACGGTCACCTCCTGTGGCAGTGACAGAGGCTAGAGGTGGGCACAGCAGACAGGGCTGCCTGGCTTCTCACTGCCCCTCCAGCCCTGCACAGTGGGCAGGGAGGGGCCTGCACGGTCAGGGACAACCAGGGGGGCTGGTGGGGCCGGCTGCAGGGGCTACACCCACCAAGGCACCTAGCTTGCAGGCCAGGCTGAGGGACCATGGTGAAGGCTGAAATGACAGGTTGTGACTAGAGGGGGCAGCAGAGTCCCGAGAAGGGACCTGGGAGGTGAGGCTCCCGCCAGGCCCTGAGCCGCTGGCCGCTGGTTCATTTTGCACGGAGCCCCAGTGCTCTGGGAAAAGGAACACTCTAGAAAGCGGGTTGGGGAGCGTTCCCACCTTAGAAATACGCTGTCCATGCGTGTTTCTGCGATGAACTCGCGTTTTCCTTACATGATGCTCCCCAGGGGCTGGAGAGATTGCCTTCAAGCTGCAGTACTTCATCAGGAACTCGGGTTTTGAAAGGCCACGCCAACTTTCTGAGGCAGCTGCGAGGCCCCCAGCCCCGGCCGCCCGCCTGCGCAGTGGCCAGCCCACGGGCGGACAGTCCCCAAGCGCTGAGCCGCACCTGGCCACGTCCGGCCTGGCTCTTCCCTCAGACACTGACAAATTCAAGATTATCGGGGGACCTGGGAAAGCGGCCTTGGAAGGGGTGGGGGCAGAGGGGACCCTCTGCAGCCCCGCAGCCAACAGGGTCTTGTGTGGGTACCAGGTGGGTGGGCAGACACAGGGAGGGCCAGCCAGGCCCCATCCTCATGTCCTTGTGTCCCCATGTCCCTGGGCTCCAGGAAGGTGAGCACCCAAGCTAGCTGCCTGCTAGCCCCTGTTCTTCCTGGTTTTGAGAGGGGCACAAAGCCTTGTGAGGTGCACGCGGGAGACCCAGGGCTCCCCCTTGGTTAAGAGTTCACGATCCTCATGGAGGGTCATTGCCCACAGAGGGGACTTTGGGCTCCCACAAGAAGGAGGAGGTCTCATGGGGCACTGTGAGGTCCAGAGTAGGCCCAGGTGACTCAGCTGAAGGTGCCAGGGCCAGGTGCTGGAGGGTTCCTGGTGTGCCCCTCCCCCAGCCCAGGCCACTGGGCAAGACCACCCAGAGGCAGGCCGGCGCCACGTCAGCAGGGAGGGCGGTCCCTGGCCCTTGACAAGCCCACGCTTTCTGGATGACCCTCAGTAGGGAGAGCTGGGGGAGGGTGTCGGCCGGGTGGGGGTGGGCGGCTGCTCAGTCCCTCCCAGCTCTAGCCAGAGCCAGGCAGGAGGGGGATGGAGCCCCAGAGGAAGCAAGGGGCCTGCCGAGGGGCCCAAGGACAAGAGCTGGCCCTCAAACAGGCCCTGTGAATGTCTCCCCACCCCCAGGCTCTGAGAGCCTACCCCCACCCCTTCTGCACATCTCAACCAAGGCAACTCCTAACTCTTATCTCTCTCCCTCTCTCTCGGTGCAGCAACCACCCACCCCCACCATGTCTGACGAGGAAGTGTGAGTACTGACCTGAGTGCAGCCCCCCACCTAGCTGTGGGACCCTCTGACCCTTGGCTCGTGGTCATGGAATGCTTCCGGGCCGGAGGGGCTATTGGTGTTTGTTACAAACAGACTGAGCAAAAGCCCACCTCACCTCACCTGTCTCCCTCTCTGTCTCTCCCTCCCTCCCCCTCTCTTCCTCTCCCCCCTCACAGTGAACACGTTGAGGGTAAGTGTCCAAGCCGTCCCCCTCCATTTGCCAACCCAGATGGGGAGGGGGTGTGCTAGGCACCTAACTGCACGTCTCTCCTTGGGGACGTCTCTGGCCTGGGATGCCTCAGACTTGCCATGGTCAGTGGGTGGATGTCAGAGTGCTGCCATGACAGTGGTCTCCCACTTCTGCCCCTGCCTCTTGGGACCTCATCTTTCTGGCCACCTCCAAGAGCTCTGCACCAGAAGATGCTCCTCACAGCAGGACGGGGAGGGGGCCCTCCCCAAACCTCTTCCTCCCCCAGCTCTGGGCAGCCTCCTGGGGACCCGTCTCTGTCCCTCAGCCTCCTCCATCCCCTGGACCGGCCCTGGGGGCTCTGCTAATGGCCCCTCTCTTTTGTCTCTATCCCAATTCAGAACAGTACGAGGAGGAAGGTAATCCTGGTGGCCCCTAGAAGCCGTCCCAGCACTCCCTGCCCTTCCTCTGAATGTCTTGCGGCTTCTGCGTGAGCCCTACAGCCTGGCCCCCAGACCTCTCGGAGCTCTCTGGAGCTGTTCCCCGTAGGACAGCCTGTGTCTTCACCACTAACTTTTTGCCTCTTTAATCCATTAATGTACCAACACAGTCATCCATCTCCACCAGCCATGATCATTAACACCTCATCCTCACGCTGTGGTGTGTGGGGTCACTGGGGTTTGGGCCTCACCAGTCTCACCCAGATTAATGCCGAGTGCCTCGTCATGCATGACCCTGAGCTCCGTCTCTCAGCCTCCCTCCCTCAGCGTCTCTCTCTGTCTCTCCAACGCTCTCATTCCTGTCTCGTCTCTCTGGCCCTCTCTGTTCCACTCTCTCTGTCTGCTGCTCTCCATGTCCCTCTGTCTTCCCCATCAGTGTCTCGGTCTCTCTCTGTGTCCGTGTTTCTGTCTGTCTTTGACTTCCTCTGTCAGTATCTCTGTCTCCGCCCCGTGCTCACCCCTGCCTCCTGCTTCATATCTCTCTGTCTCTCTCCATGTCTCCCTCCCTCGGGGTCTCTCGCCCTCTGTCTTCTCCCATCAGTGTCTCTGTTTCTGTTTCTCTCGGGATCTCTACCAGTTGTGCTTGCCACTTTCAGACATCCTCCGGGATTCCTCCCGAAACACCCGTGGGGCCCCCGCAGCCTTGCCACGTGCCTGGGCAGGCACGGGGCTGGGAGCTGTGTGGCGCGGCAGTTCTCAGGGTGCATAGGGGCGCCTGCACCTGGCACCCTTCACCTGCTCGACCCGGGAGCTTTATGCCACTGTGGGCAGGGCCTCCTGCCAAGAGCCTGGCACCTTGTTTTGAAAATATTTTGAAAGCACTTAGCTGCCCTAACAAGGCGAACAAAAATATTTCCTTTTCCACCAAAAAGGTGGAAGAGTCCTTTCGGGGCGGCTGGCGTGGGCTTGGGGAGGCAGACCCTTCCCTTGGGAAGAGAAGTATCAGGACCGAAGTGGATGGAGCAGAGGCTGCAGGAGGGGGGTCTCAAGGGCTGGGGGGGGGGGCACGGGAAGGCCTCTTGTTCGTGAGACCCCGTGATGAGCCTCAGGATCCACCCTGCTTCAGGCCAAGTCAGGACCCCCGTCCCTGTGGCCATTCTCCCCAAGGAGGAGTGTGCCCAGGCAGCAGGGCCGGGTTTGCTTTATTGCTTTTTGTCCTCTAAGTCAATGATCTTGGTTTTTAGCGTGGTTTTGGGTGTGCAGGAAGCTTGCACAGCGCACAGAGGGGAAGCGCCAGGTAGCCTTTCTCCCCTAGGCTCTGTTTCCCTCCTAGTAACAGCTTGGCTCCTTTGATACATTTGTTACAATTGCTGAACCAGGATGGACACATGTTGCTAACTCAACTCCTTGATCCGTGGAGGGCGGGCTCTGACAGGCGCAGTGCTCAGTCCCAGGCTTGTTTCAATCACGCAGGGACTTTGCCACAGCCACTTACTCAAACACCTTGGTGGCCTCTCTGAGCCCTGGGCACCGGGAAACAGAGCTGCAAAAGGAAGTCTTCGTGTGTGACGGGGCAGCATGGTCCTCGAGGGTTCCCCAGGGCCTCTGAGGAAGATGTCCACGGAGGCCAGGGCCACGTCCTGCCTGCAGAGACCACTGCCTGCCCACTCTTGGCTTTGGCCAGCACTGGGGAGGGGGGACTCCCCACGTCCTCAGCTCAGAAAGGCACTGGCCAGAGCAACCACCCCCTGCCTCTCTTTCCCCCCTGGGACCAGCCCACTCCTCGCCAGCCTTGTGGACTTGCCTCTAACGACTGTCCTTCCCTCTCTCTCCCTCTTGCCTCCTCCTGCTCTTGGAACTCAGAAGAGGCTCAGGAGGAAGGTAAGAGGCGGTCCAGGACCCCGGCCCACACCCAGACCTCCCAGCCTTTCTGCCCTGACCTATATCCCAGTGTTGGGTGCCTGCCTGACCCCACAGCCCTGCACCTCTAAGAACCTTCTGTGTGTACCCCATCTAACCCTCTCCTCTCTCCTCCCACCGCCGTGCACCCAGCACCCCCACCTGCAGAAGTCCATGAGCCAGGTACGCAATACAGGACTTCTGACCCCATGTGGGGCCCGGGGCCCGGCTGGAGAAGAGCAGGGTAGGAGTGGTGGGTGGGGAGGCAGCAGGGTGTCCAGCCAGCCAAGGGGCCCCACATGTGGCCTCCAAAGTAACCCACTAACTGTGATCGCTGCTTGAGCAGGGAGGGTGGGGAACGCAGGCCCGGGGGATGAGGCATGGTACCTGTCTCTCTGACAGGCACAGAACCTGGCTGCGAGGGTCTGGTCGGGGCTCCCTCAAGCTGGAGGGGTCCAGGCTCCAATGTGGAGGGCATCTCCAAATCAAGGGGCTGTGGTGAGGCCCCTGGGGTGTGATCAGGATTCTCTACCCCTGAGACCAGCCCTCCAGCCTGGGTGGGTGACTGAGGGACCCCTGGGGGTCCGTGCTCTGCAGCCCCCTGGGAGACCTGGGCCGAGGACAGAGACAGGGCGAATGTGCACAGGGACAGTGGGTCCTGGTGGCCAGGCTCCTACAGAGAGGCCTTCCTTCATCTGTGCCCAGGCCCAGCTCAGCCCCTAGAGGGGTGTGCTACTTCGTCAGTCCCCAGCAGGGGTGCTTGCCACCCCTTCAACCCAGCCCTTAGTGCCCCTCCTGGGGTCTGGGCCTAGAGGGCAGCTGGGCCAGGATGGGTGAACACAGGGGAGGGCGGGGCCCATGGCTATGGGCAGGTCAACCAGGCCAGGGCCCAGCTCCCACAGAGGCCTTGTGGAGGGAACTGGGGAGAGCTCTCTGCAAGGTGAGGACCATCCTGGCATGCCCCCCATTCCTCCTTCATGGTTCTGCCTCCATGGCTACGGGTCCTGACCTGACCTGACCTGACCTGACATGGAAGGTCTGTCCCCACAAAGGGAGGCACGGAGGTCCCTGGACCTGGCCCTGATACGGCTGTGACAGCTACTGTCACCACAGTAGCAAGAGCTGGCCCCCAACTGTGCCTTTGAGCCTCCGTTTCCCCACGTGTGAGGCGGGACGGGCCCAGGCCATCTCAAGGAGCAGGCGCTCAACTGGGGACATGGTGGGGGAGGCACCCCGGGCCGGCACTGACCACTGACCTTCTCTCGCTCGCTTTCGGCATGCATCCCACCCCCACCTCACCGCTGACCCTCCGAGCGGCGACGGGCTGTTCCACTAACCTGGGACTCCTTCTCCTTTGACCTCTGACCCGTGACCTTGCCTCTTGTTCCATGGCCCTCCTTCCCATGAAGTTCATGAGCCAGGTATGTGACATGACTTCATCTCCGTGTGTCGCGTGTGCACACGTGTGGCCATGTGTGGTGTGTGCAGACGAGAGGAACAAGAGGGCCTGCGTAACCCGCTCACGCTTGGGCCCGCTGCCCCCCTGGGTCCCCTCCACTCCGGACACTGCTCCTCCCACTCCTTCTGTCCATTTTCACAGTCACTCTCTCTCCCTTCCCCTCTTTCTCCCCATGTGTCCCCCATCGATGCCGCTTCTGCAGAAGAAGTCCAAGAAGGTATGCGCACACGAGGGTGCTGAGTGCTCAGGGCCCCCCAAAGCCCCCACAGCCTCCTGCCTCTCTCTCTCTCTCTTATCTCTTCTTCCACACTCCCTCCCACCACTGACCACAGCAAAGACCGCTCTGGCCTGTGTGCTGGGGATGGAGAAGGGGCAAGCCGGCCTGGGGTAGGACTGGCTGATGGGGTGAACACTTCCTTCTGCCCTCACCCCCAGCAGAGGTGGCTGGGGTCCTGGAGGCTCTTCCCAGGCCACCAGCCAGAAGGTGTGCCGAGGCCAGCTTGAAAGAGTGCAGAGCCCTCAGAAAGGTGTAGGTGGTGCAAGGTCCACTGGGACCTACTTGGCCCACCAGGGCAGGGTGGGGAAGAGCCAAGGGGCTGCAAGGCAAGTCGTCTTCACCCTGCCCCAGACAGCAGGCCAGAGGCAGGGAAGTCAAGAGGGTGAGGCTGCAGGGAGGGCAGAGGGGCAACGGGTGAAGCAGAAAGTCGGCTGAGCCCCAAGGAGGGGCTGGGGACTGGGACCTGCCAGGGGCTGTGTGCGCACACAGGCACTCAGTCAGGTTGAATCCCACCCTGCTGGGCTAGAGCCAGACACGCCAGCTCAAGGAGACCTGAGAGCCCCCCTTAGTGGGGCGGCAGTACCTCGAGGCAGAGGTGAGGAGGCCTCAGATTCAAGGGCCTGGGGCCCGAGTCACGGAGTTCTTTTCAGAATTCTGCTCAGGTGCTGCCTCAGCGGAGCCCAGGCCACCGGGCTGGGCCAGCACCTCACTCCCCGGCCTCAGACAGGCCTCTACCCAGTGGAGGGTTGGGTGGGAGACACCCAGGCAGTGCCAATGGAGGATGAAGTTCCGCTCGAGGTCACGGGGGTGGGACAAGGTCGTCCTGGAACCAGCACTGAGGACAACAGATAGGTGGCACGGAGAGGGACACCCCCCACTAGATGCCACCCCCCTGGTGGCACAGCCTGGCCCGGAGCACTTCTCTGCTTGGCCTGGGGACCTTGGCTTTCCCAGCCCGCTCCTTCCATTGGCCTCAGCCGGGGTCTCTGTGGACCCCAGGCACTCCACTAGGGGCCGCTCCAGCAAGTTGCAGGGACAGGCCATTTGTCCCCTCCCAGACAGCTGTGGTTCCTTAGTTGGGTTTCTGTTCTGAGTCCCCTGTGGCCTCCATGGCCCCTACCCTCAGGTGCCGAGGGAGAAGGACGTCAAGCCACCTGTACGGCCGAGCACCGGCCACTAAGGTGCTGGTGGTGTGTGGTAGGTTCCTGAGCTACCACTAGATCTAGGAGTGTGCTGAGGCCATGTGCTCGCCAGGATGAGGGGCTGGCCGGGCTCGTCCCCAGGACAGGCCTTCTGCATCCCTGTGGAGGCCATGGAGGTTGGCTCAGCCTGGCTTTCCTGGGTTCAGAGTGGGGTAGGGTCCCCACACGATTGAATGAATCATCCCCCCCTAATACAATGAGAGGGGCCCCGCTGGGACCCTCCTCACGAGGGCAGCCCCTGAGAGGCAGGCCAGCCAGAGTCTGGGGTCTGGGAGCTCAGGCCTGAGGGCAGGCCTGGAGGGGCCAAGTCGGTGGGGGAAAGTCTCAGGCAATTTTAAGGATCAGAGGGCAGGCCAGGGCCCAGGATGGGTGGCAGAGCTGAAGGTCAAACACAAAACCGGAGCTAGTCTGGCTGCCCGAGTCACCAACCAAACCACCATTGGGCCTGCACCCCCACCGCAGCTCAGGGGCCCCAATCTAGGTGTCTCTGCCTCCCAAGAATGCCCCCACAGACCCGTGGGCACCCCTGCAGCCAGGCCTTCCCTGGGACCCAGCTGAGGTGCTAGCGGGCTGGGGGCCGGGAGGGCTGTTGCCGCCCCTGCATGGCCTTTCTCTTGCATATTTGCTTGCTCCGTGAAGACGCCACCACCCAGCAGCCTGCAGAGGATGGGGAAGGTAAGGCTGCTTGTCCTGCCGCCGCTGTGGCCACATGCTCAGTTCTGCCGGCTCTTCCCAGGGACGAACCCGACGCAGAAAGGGAGACGCCCCTGCCCCTTCCTGCCTGCCCGCCTGCCCATCTGTCACCTGTCTGCCCCTTGCTTCTCCCAGCCGGCCGAGCACACAGCTTCTGCCCTGCACAGAGAGGGTGGCCCCCGAGGTTGAGCAGAAGGCCAGGACAGACCAGGCCTGAACTGGACTGAGTGTGAGGGACACACCCCACTCTCTGCCTTCCCTTCCTCTGTCCACTTCGCAAGAGCCCTGGGGGCTCATGGTTAACCCATTTGGCTGCTAACCAAAAGGTTGGTGGTTGGAACCCACCAGCCACTCCGTGGGAGAAAGATGTGGCAGTTGGCTTCTGTAAAGATCACAGCCTTGGGAACCCTCTGGGCAGTTCTACTCTGTGCTCTAGGGGCGCTGTGAGCCAGCATCAACGGCAAGGCAGTGGGTCCTTCCCTGAGGCCCCTTCCCCTGCCCCATCAGCCTCGTCTTCTTCTCTTCCTATCTCCTTGTGCATATCTTTCCTCTGTCTCTTCCTTCCCACCCTCAGAAAACCCTGTTTCCCATTCCTTCTTTCTCTTCCCCACTCCTGTCATATCCTGGTCCCCACTCTGAGCTCCCCTTGGTTCTGGTCAGTGGCTTCCTCAAGCCAGGAGTGGGGACAAAACCTTCTTGTTCCTGGTGGGTTGGGTGGATGGTGGGTGGGCTCGGCCAGAAAGGTGCCTGGTCTCACCTGGCCCTCCCACTCTCTCTCTCCCTCTCCCCCCATGTCTGTGCTGTGGTGACCAGAGGAGAAGCCAAGACCCAAGTGAGTGGGGGGCAGGCTGGTGTGGGCAGGGCTGGGAGCAGGGCCTGGCACCCTTCTTGGAGGAAGAGCAGACTGTGTAGGGTAGATGGGAGTGGACATCCCAAAGGGATAGGACCCTGGGCTCCCAGAGGAAGAGCAGGCACCCAGTGTGTGGGGGCCAACATGAGGCCCAAGCCCCAGGCAAAGTGGTGCTGCACTGTGCCTTGCAGCGGTGCTTCAGAGGTCTCTAAGGAACATGCCTTGGGCTGCCAGGGTCAGACTCTACGTGGAAGTCGGGACTCCTGGGTCATCAGGGTGGAGGTCATCCAAAGTGGCCAACAAAGGCTTCCTAGAGGAGGACGCTTCCCAGAGCTACGGGCCAAGGAAGGCAAGGGTGGGGCCAGGGGAAGAGAGAGCAGAGCCCAGGGCTCTCTCTCTTTTGCGGGGCCTCACTGTGGCCATCTGTGCTGTGGGGCCCTCAGAGGGCCAACAGACACGAGAGGCAATGGGGGTGGGAGTGGTCTCCTGCTGCAACCCTCTCAGAATGACCCGTCTCTGAAGTTCACATTCACCAAGAACACTCTGCGTGCTTCCTTGGGGCCACGGGAGCCCATGTGGGCAACTCTTCTGGGAGGGTCTCCCCACGAAGCCCTGCTACAAAGAGGGTCTCTTCACCCCGAAGCCTTGCTGGCAAGGTGCTCCGGGCCTTCTTCACCCAACCGCACTGACTTCTCTGCCCTCTAAGAGCTCCCACGCCCGTGTCCCTGCGAGCACCCTGGCGCGCTGTTCACCCTGTGCGTGCTGGGATTGTAAAGTGAATGTGCGCGCGGCCAGCATCCATTCCATCACCGGCTCTCCGAGTGCGAAGACAGAGGGGTGGCCGGCTCACGCCCTGCCCACGGTTGCTTCTTCAGCGGTTTAAAATCGAGCTGTCCGGATCTCAAGATCCTTTCTAGCTCGAGAACACGGTTTGTGTTTTCGCTATGAAAACAAAACACCTCATTAAAGGAAATTTGGAAAATACGTAAAAGTCTAATGAAGGAAAAAAAAAAAAAAAAGCGCCCCCACCCCAGGCTGGTTCTCTCCCACCCAGCCAGCCAGACTGTGGAAACGAGAGGACAAGCTTCATTTCTTCTCACAAGTTTTCCAAGCACAGGGCTTGGAAAAAAAAAAAAAAAGTTTTAAACGCCGCCCTGTCTGTACGACCTTGGATTCTGCCTCTCTGAACTTGAGCGCTATTCATAAGTATTTTTCCATGTTTTTGCATCGTCTCCTTAAATATTTTGAATGGCCACACAGTATTCCATCCACCGGGCAGACCATAATTTTCCTAACCGTCCCCCCATCGTAGGCCGGGAAGGCTCGCCCCAGCATTTCACTCTCATAAATAACGCTGGGTGGGAAGCGGTTTCCGTCCGTAGGGTTATTTCCCTAGGCCCACGTCCCAGAACTGGAATTCCTGGGTCAAAGAGTATGGACTTTCTTATGGCTTGTGACATCCTTTGCCAAATTGCTTTCCACGAAGACCCTGCCAAGGCCTTCGACGTGGCGTTGATGGCGGCGTGTACGCACACACCCACCCCTCCAAGGACAGCGCCCCGCTTTCAAATCACAGCCGTTGATGCAGGAGCAAAGGCTGCCTCGCTTGGGGCCTCTGCTAGCCAGAGAGGGAGACCTCTGCCCACGTGGCTGGTAACAACCGGCCCTTGTGCACTTTGATTTAACTGCCGGCCGTCGGTGGAGGCAGCCGGTGGCGGCTCTGTGTTTTTCTAGGTTTTTTTTTTTTTTTTTTTTGCCGTTCAATGTTTGCCTTTTTGCACATACATAACTTTTCATTTGTGTGTAATCATTTGGCCATCTTCCCCTTTCTGGGCCCTTCTGGCCCCTGTGGACTCAGGCAAGCCTTTTCCCCAAGCAGTTTAATCAATAGTCCACTTTCTTCTATGGGTATTTTTGTGTTTTAATGTGTTGGTACTGTTTTAATGCTTCAATCCATCAGGAATGTGTGGCAGGACTGAGGGCCAGACTGATGGGTAGGTGGTGGTCTCCTGACTCTTCAAAATGCTCTCTTCCTAGACCCCCTTCTCTCTTTCCTGGGGGCCCACAGAAAGAAAGAGTAAACTGGGGCCAGAGAAGTGCCGAGGGGCTGCCGCCTGACCACATGGGCCCGCCGCCCGCCTGGCGCCCCTCCTCTGGTCCACACGGGTCACCTTTGTGTGAGAAAGCAAGCCAGGGCACCCTTCCTTGGAGATATGGGTAGAAACCACGCTGAGAAGTTCAGAAACTGGCGACACAGAGAAGGGCCCTGAGGACAAAATGTTCTTAAGGGCACCAAGCCACTCTCTGGATGGTGGACGGTGTGTCTGATGAGAACCAAGTTCAGGCACATGTGTGACAAGGCAGGTGCCCCCAGCCCTGTAGGACAGTGCCAGGCCACCCTGGGCAGGCTCGAAGTGGGGGGCTGGTGGGCCCTTGTGGTACCTCCAGCTTTCTCTGCTCCTCAGCCCCTCTTTTTGTCTTCTTCAGACTCACTGCTCCTAAGATCCCGGAAGGGGAGAAAGTCGACTTTGATGTAAGTTGGTGGGGCTTAGGTCAGCAGTGTCCTCTCTGTCCCAAACTAGGCCTGAGAAGGTCACCTCCTCTCAAGCAGCCAGAGCTGAGACTCCCTGGTCTAGTCAGTTCCACCTTAGTTCATTCCTGGGCTAAAGGGAACACCCCCTTTATTCATTCCTGTTTCTTCCTTTCCTATCCATCCACCCACCTACCCAGCTTTCCATCTATCCATCCATCCACCCACCCACTCATCTATCCATCCATCCACCCACACATCCATCTAACCACCCATTCATCCATTCTCTCATTCATCCATACATCTATACATCCACCCACCCACCCACCCATCCATCTACCCACCCAAGCACCAACTCACCCACCCACCCACTCACCTACCTACCCGCCCACCTGTTCATTCATCCATCAATCCATCATCTACCAATCTACTCATTCATCCATACGTCAATCTATCCAATCTTGCTCCCTTCTATTCACCCAACCACCCATCCACCCATCTGCTTATTCATTCATACATCACCCACCCACCCATCCATTCTTTACTTACCCATCATTCTTCCACCCATCCATCCACCTATCTGTCTGCCTATCCATTCATACACCCACTCACCCACCCACCCATTCATCCATTCATTCACCCAAACATTCATCCGTTCACCCATCCATCCATCCATCTACTCATCCACCCATCCATCTGCCTATCTTTTCAACATCCACCCATCCACTCACTCACCCCTTTACTCACCCATTCATTCATTCACCCACCCATTCATCTATCCATCCATCCATCCAATTACCCACACTTCCTCCTTTCTGTCTACCCATCCACCTATCCATTCACTTATTCCCCATTTATAATCTGTCTAATATCAACTCACTGCTCAGGTTCCTCTTTGTCAGTCAAGAAGGGGCATCAGTGAGGATGATTACAGGGCCATGTCAGAGCCAATCCATCCCAGAGGTGTTGATGACATCATGGCTGGGCATCACCTGGGCAGGGCTTGGGCTCACATACAGGAAGGGAACCATGCTCACCCTGCTGGACTCCCAGGAAGGCAGTGGCCACGGGGATGTGGTGAGGCCCAAGGCCCTTTGCAGCTCTGCGCTGTCTGGTGGCTGGGAGTCAGGGCTTCTCAGCTGGAGCAGAGGCAGGTGCTGCTTGCTCCAGGCAGGTTCGGGGTGTGGGAGGTGGCACGGGATCTGACAGGTGTCTGCCACCCACAGGACATCCAGAAGAAGCGCCAGAACAAAGACCTCATGGAGCTCCAAGCTCTCATTGACAGCCACTTCGAAGCCCGGAAGAAGGAGGAAGAGGAGCTGGTTGCCCTCAAGGAGAGAATTGTGAGTCTGGGTGGCTCTGGCCCTGCTCCTCGACCTCCCCGTCCACACAGGTGCCTCGTCCCAGCCCAGGTCCCAGGGCAGGGGACTGACGTGGGGTGATGGGGGGACAGGGGCTGCTCTTGGAAGGTGGAGAGGCTGGGCTGACCTGCTCCTCTGGCCGTAGGAGAAGCGCCGTGCAGAGAGAGCTGAACAGCAGCGGATCCGTGCCGAGAAGGAGAGGGAGCGCCAGAACAGACTAGCGGTGAGTCCTGGCTCCCCTTACCACCCCAGACCCAGAGAAACGCCACGGTCCCTGCCCTTCCTTCTCTTGGGATCCTGCTCACAGTGGCCAGTGGTCAGAGTCCCATGAGGCTCCCATGATGGCCTTGCCCTATAGACACTGCTACAAAATGGCAGACCTCAACCAGTCCCTGCAGCTTCTAGAAAGTTCCAAGTCCAAGATGGGTCCCTGAAGTCTTCCCAGAGAACAGTGTAGCTGTGAGCCCATACCTGAGGGTCCAGGGTTGGGGTCTCCACAGGAGGAGAAGGCCCGGAGGGAGGAGGAGGATGCCAAGAGGCGAGCTGAGGATGACCTGAAGAAGAAGAAGGCCCTGTCCTCCATGGGCGCCAACTACAGCAGCTACCTGGCCAAGGTGAGTGCAGCTGCAGAGCCAGGTGGTGGCCCGGCCTTCAGTTCAGGCTCCTGAGACCTCTGCCCCCCCCAGGCTGACCAGAAGAGGGGCAAGAAGCAGACCGCCCGGGAGATGAAGAAGAAGATCCTGGCCGAGAGGCGCAAACCACTCAACATTGACCACCTCAATGAGGACAAGCTGAGGTGAGGCACAGCCACCGGGGGAAAAGATGGGCTGGGCACTAGGGCTGACTGTGGGCTGGCCTTGAGGGAGCTTCCAGAACGTTCCCCAAACCCACCTTCATGGCTTCTGCAAGGCATTTGGGCCCAGCTCCCTGTGGCAACTGAGAAGAGCAGGCAGACCTGGCCAGGCCTGTCTAGAGCTTAACCGGCCAATTGTCCCCTTGACCCTCTCCCCAGGGACAAGGCCAAGGAGCTCTGGGACACCCTGTACAAGCTGGAGACTGAAAAGTTTGAGTTTGGGGAGAAGCTGAAGCGTCAGAAATATGATGTGAGTACAGGACCTCGAGCCCACGGGCCTCCTGGTCTCCCATCATGCAGGGCAGCACCAGCGGCCAGTCTCCCTGCGCCCTCTAGGCCCACTGTCCAGAGCAGTACTGCCTGAGCCCTGGGGCTGGGGCTAGGGCATCCCTTGGGGTGGGTCATCAGGACACCCCCAGTACAGAACCTGGCCCTCAGGGACACACGGGGCTGACCAAGCGTGGGCTGTCTGAAGGATGGCCATTGGGCTGCAAGGTCTTCTCCAGCTTCCCCCATGCTGGTAGGGAACCCCATGTTGCTGAGGTCATTGCTGGGGGACACTAAGTCCCCTGCACTAGGACATCTCCCTCTCAATGTCCCTGCAAGGTCAGGTCCCAGCCACCGCAGGGCCTGAGAGATCAATTGTCCTGCACCTATGCAGGTGGTCAGTGCCCTGGGTCCCTGAGTGGTGTCCCTCTCGCACCCGACACCCCCCCCACCCCAGGGAGCTGACTTGGCGTGGTGTGGCCATGGCTGGTCTCCCACCGGGTGGGGGTCCCTGGGGTTACCCTTCTCTGAGGGCTTAGACCGCAGCACCTTGATACAGACGCTGCCCCAGGAGCAGTCTGGGATCTCAAAGCCAGCCTGTTTTGGTGGTCTGAGAAGTGGGGCAGCATGGGGGGCTGTTTCCTGCCCTGTAGGCCTGGTGAGACATCCTGCAAGTTCGTGTCAGAGGGCCCAGGCAGGGGCTGGGGGTGGGGTTCATGGGGTAGGGTGTTCCGTTCAACCCCTTAAAGATGCCCGAGCTGGCGTGGCATGGGACGAGGCACAAGCCTGGGACCCCATTGCCACTCCATCCTTGGGCACCACTTAACTTCCCTGTAGCTCTGAGTCCTCTCTCTGGAGGAAGGAGGTCCAGCACGGCTCAGGCTCATGGGCGCACTGACAGGCAGAGCTGCCCCTCCTCGGGGGCCCTCCCTGTGAGGGTTCTCCTACAGCCACGGGCTCCCATCTATGCAAAAAAAACCAAACTCACTGTTGTCGAGTCAATTCAGCTCACGGCGACCCCTCCTTGGGTTTCCAAGGCGGTATCTCTACAGAAATAGATTTCCCAATCTTCCTTCCAAGGAGTGGCTGGTGGGTTTGAACTGCCAGCTTTCTGGTTGTCGGTCAGATGCCTTAGGCACCGTGCCACCAGAGCTCCCCCCATCTACGCACAGAGACCACAAAGCCCAGTCTGAGGCCTGGCTGCATTCAGGAAAGCCCAGCCAGCCCCGTCACACTGACCCGTCTATGGCTCACAGTGAGGCCCCAGCCCCGGTGGCAAGGTGAGCGGGGCCGGCAGCCTCAGGCCCCATCCAGCACCGTAACTGCCTGGTCTTTCCAGGTCATGAATGTGCGGGCCAGAGTGGAGATGCTAGCCAAGTTGTAAGTACTGGGGCCGCAGGCTCGGCTCACAGCGTGTGCTGCACGGAGAGCTCAAGCATGGCACCGTGTGGGTCGTGCAGGGTGCTGAGGCTGTAGGCACGGACCGGGCGCAGGCCCCTGCCACTCCTTCCTGCCCCCTCCTCCCTGCAGCCCCCGGATGCTCTCAGGAGGAGAGGGCAGCTGAGTGGCTAAAGAGAGGGAAGGTGTGTGGCCTTGTGCAGGAGGCAACCCAGGCTGACAGAGGGACGTGCAAGCCCCCCCCCCTCTGCGGCTGCCCCCACTCCGTGCCCCCAGCCCGCGCCCCGCCGTAGCTGAAGGTAAGCGGTCACTCAGAGCTGCTGTGAGCCCAGGTCCCCAGCACAGGTCACTGTGAGTAACAGGGAGGCATGAGCCTGGGGACTGGGGGAGTGTCCCTGCACAAGAGGCTCCAGGAACCAGCAAGAGAGCCTGACAGGCCACGTGGCGCCCAGGGAGTCAACGTCCACGTGGCGCCCAGGGAGTCAATGTCCATGTGGCATGCGGAGGGACTGCATGCAGATGGTGTGCAGAAGGCCCTGATGCCCACGTGGCACCCAGGGGGCCGACGTCGAGGTGGCACTCAAGGGACCGACCGACATCCACATGGCACTCGGGGGGCTGACGTCCACAGGGCACTCAGGGGGCTGATGTCCACACAGTGCCCAGGGGGCCGACGTCCATGTGGCATGCAGAGGGACTACGTCCAGGTGGTACGCAGGAGGCCCTGAGGTCACATGGCACCCAGGGGGCCGACATCCACTTGACACTCTGGGGTCCAGCACCCATGTGGCACACACGATCCTGATGGTGGCCTACCAAGGAGCAGTGAGCAGAAGTGGCTGCAGTGGGGAAGCTGCTGCCGACCCCCTCTGGCTGCCCTGCTCAGCCCCACACGGTAAGCCCTCGGTCTTGTTCACAGATCACCAATCTCAGGAGCCGCATCGACCAGGCCCAGAAGCAGTGAGTAGCCACACCCCTTACTCTGCGCTGGGCTGGCTGCCACCCTCCACTTGGGGCCACTTCCCCAGACCTTAAACCAATGACCTTAAACCATTGGTGGCCCCCTGCGCAGAGCATAACCCAACTAACCATAGCTCCAGCCGGCATGTCCTGCCCCCACCCGGAACCCGCCACCCTGCTCAGACCCAGCACAGAGACCAGGAGGGGCAGGGTCGGAGACACCTCTCCCAACAGGAGGCCCACGGCCAGCATTTCACCATGAAGGGTGACCAGAGACAGAGTCCTGGGCAGAGGCTCCAATTCCCTCCCGGAGGGAGGGGGGCGAGTCTGTGAAGACACCCAGCCCTGGGTCGGGGGCCAGCAGCAATGCTGCCAGCAAGAACTCTGATGCTCACCTACCCGAGGCCCACGGCAGAGCCCCTGGTGGCAGGCCCCCCACTCAGGGCCTGTCTCCAAGTTTGGCTGTGGAGCCGTTTCACACTTCAGGGAGCACAATCGGCCCAGTGGGCAATTTGGGGTTGCAACCTTTTGGGGGTTTCCACCCTCTTCCCACTGGCCCTGGCTTCCTTACTGCTCCCAGGGGGCTGGTCTCTGCTGTGCGGGTCGGAGCTGGGCCACGCGGGTGAGGGCCACACGTGCATGTGTGTGAGTGAGGGTACACGCACAGGCTGCTGAGCCTCCCTGGCCAGCTCCCCCTGCAGGAGGGCCCTGGCCATGAGTGCAGCCTGGTCCTCAGCTAGCCCGGGCGTGGCACCAGCCTCGTGGGCCGTAGGTCCTGCTTAGCTGCAGTGCCTGACCCCAGAGGCCAGAGCCTGAGACACCCTCATCTCCCTGATGCCTGCCTTGGCCTCCAACCCACAACACGTTCCCTAGTGGTTTCCCTCGTGGTGTGCGGCACGCAAAGGCTCCAGAGAGGGCACGCTCCCCAGGACCTTCAGGGTCCGTCCCCAGCCGAGGGCCCCCCAAGCCCTCAGGCTGGACCCCTGGCTGGACAGAGCACAGACGGAGTGCCATCTAGCCACACCTGCCACCCAGGGCCGTGCTGAACGGAAGATGGTTCTTCCCAGCCACACAACTGGGAGACACGTCTGCAAGACAGACGTCCTGAGGTCGAGGGCACCTCGCTGCCCATGCTCAGAGCCTTCAGGCAGGGGGAGGCGAGGAGGGGCTCCCAGGCTTGCACTCCAGCCCCACTTCCCCTAACCACACTGACTCCTGGCACCAAGCACCCAGGCCCAGGTACCCACCCAGCTACAGGTGAGTCAGCAACGCTGGGCTCAGCGAGGTGTGTGTGGATGCACTGGGGGGCTGGGCAGGACCCTCGCCCTCACAGTGGCCCTTGTGGCCAAGCTGCCAGGCCGAGGGTCGGGGGGCCTTGGTGGGGCTCAGCCTGGGTCGGCACCACCCTGACACTCACGACCACCTTGCTTCCCACCTACAGCAGCAAGAAGGCTGGTGCCACTGCCAAGGGCAAGGTTGGGGGGCGCTGGAAGTGAAGAAGTGGAGCCCAAGTGGGGCCGTGAGGCAGAGACCCTTTTCTGCCCATGCTCTCTGGCCCCTGCACCGAGGCTCCTCCCAGGGCTCCCGGACAGTCCCCATGGGGCCCACGACCCATCCCAGAGCTCTCCCCACATCTCTGTCCTCAACACCCCCACCCCCTGGGGTCTGGGAATAAAGTGAGCAGATCCCCCTCCATCAGGTGTGGCTCATGCTGGGGCTAAGAAGGCGGGGAGGGTGGGCTGGAGGGGGGTGGGAAAGGGGAGCTCTGTGGCTCAGGGACATCAGGAAAGTGGATGCCCATCCAGGGCTCAGGCCTGGAGATGGCAGGGCAGGTTCCCACAGCCGCCAGAGCCTCTGCACCCGGGCCTTGGCCAGTGGCCTCCATGGCCATCCCCACCCCACCAGGACATCCCCCTCTCAGGTCTCCATGACAGAAGAGCTTTGCTGGGGTGGAGGGCAGAGGGTCCCCATGTTCAGGGGGGATGTGGCTCAAGAACAATGCCCCAAACTTTACAAACATCCCCCCAGAGGTGCAAGCAGACATCAATCCCAGCCCGAGAGGCCCCTCTCTGAGGATGTGGGTCCAGAGGCCAAGCCTGCCCAGCCGGAGAAGGGGAGGAATGCAAAGAAGCAGGCTTCCCGGCCAGAAAGCAAACACGGCGCACACAAGCCACTCTTTCTGTGTTCCAAGAGGACACAGTGTGCGTCTGCATCCATAAATTTGAAACTCCTGACAAAATAGAATTATGGAAAATATAAATCACAGAAATTGGATCAAGACACACAGCCCATATAGCAGAGTCACAGAGCAGCCGGGGAGCCCAGCACTGCCTCGCCAGGGAGGGCTGGGGCCGAGGGCCCTCCATGCTGCCGACCAACAGGCATACAAGGCAGGGCGCCTGGTGCCGTCTGCAAGGAGGTGCTACAGCCAGCCCAGAAAAACCACCCCCACACGGTACATGCACACGTACGCGTGCACATCCCAACACCCCCACACATGTGCACATACATGTGTGCAGCCCATTCCACACACATCACAACTCCCCACGTGTGTGTGCACACTCCAACCCCACACACATACACACATCCCCTGTGTGTGCATGCCCACACATCCCCACACACATTCACACAGTTTGGTCAACACGCACATGTATGTCTACCCCAACACACACCCACACACATACGTACACCAGATCCCCCACATACAACATAAGTTCCAATGCATGTGTGTGTGCTCACATGCACACATACACACATGCACACACTCCATTCACAACACAATCATGACTCCTCATGTATGTGCACACCCAACCCCCACACACATCACATCCATGACACAAACATAACCCCACACACATGTGCAGTCATGTGCTACACACAAATGCACACATTGTATCCCCCCACACAATCATAACTTCCTACCTGAGCACTTGCTGTAACACACACACACACTCCTCCATCACAACACAATCCTAACTCCCCACATGTGCAGCCATGTCCCTGTCTACACCTATACACAGACACATACAACACCTGTGTGTCTACAAACATAGCTCCTTGCATGTGTGTGCACACCCACATACACCCATACACAGACATGTACAACACCTGTGCCCCCCACAGACACAGCTCCCTGAATGTGTCTGCACACCCACATATACCCATACACAGACATGTACAACACCTGTGTCCCCCACAGACATACTCCCTGTATGTGTGTGTACACCCCAACACACATCCATAAACATATACACATCCTACATGCACATACATCAACCCCACACACCCACACCATACACACACATCAGGCACACTTATACAAACACACATACCTCTCACATACACACATGCCACACACATACATGTGCCCCACACGCACACCTGCAGAGATGTCAAGATTTTAATACCATAAATGAGGGCTCAAGTGTCCCCACGGTACCAAGACAAGGCACTGAAGTGAGAAAAACCACTAAGAGGCCAGGGGTTTCGTGGGGACAAGAAGTCACCATGGAGAGTGGGGCGCTGTAACCCTGAGTGCGAGGGAGCGTGACAGCAAGGTGTGCTGAACCGGAGTCCCAGGGAACCCACACCTCACAGTAACCATCACACCGGAGCCCAGGTACAGGAAGGTGTGTAGGACTTGAACAGAGCTGTCAGCCTTGGTTGGATGACCCACTCCAGGACACAGTCCCCCAAGCCAGAGAGTGCCTGGAAACGCTGGCACAAGTTGACCACACATTAGGAGGAAACGGCAGCTTCAGCAAAGTGCATGTGAGGGGCATGTCCTGGCCACCAACGGCCAGCCCTGTGACCAAGTCAGAATTCAATTAAATGATAACTTTTAAACGGGCATAGTGCCTAAGGCA